GGCTGCCTGAATCTGATTCGTGAAGGTTCCGGGAGTGAAGCGCCCAGCAATAGGAGTGGCTCCAGTGGCAGCAGCAAACTTCAGCACAGCTCGCTTTGAGAATAAAGGACATTGTGAGTTAGCAATGTACTACATGGTTTCATAAATTTCCATGATAGTGCTCCCCTAGTTCTTTAATCCCATGAAGCCATCTATCTAATCGGACCCTCAAACATTCCTTCTTCAAAAATGAAAACAGAACCAAGCACTTAAATTCCTAACTCAGGCCCTCACTGTGGTAAACTGTTTTTCTCACTTCTGGAAGATTGAGCCCAACTGCCTGGTACCAAGCAAAAAGTTAGGCTCACTGAATCTTTATTCAGAAATGCCTGAAAAATGCAGAGTACAGTAACTGAAACTGGCCTTCCCCTACCATACACACCAGGGTATAAGGGGGGTTCCAAGCTATAGCCAGCCTGTGAAAAGTAATTCTTCTGAAACTCATGGCAACGTTTTATTACCATAAATCTGAAAATAAAAATAGGACCACTAGTATTACATTATTTTCAAATATGTCCAAAACCAAAGGTACAATGTTTTTCTTAAAAAACAATTAGAATGGAGCCAATGATTATCCTTGTTAAACTATTTTAAAGTCAATTTTACATGGCATACACAGGGCAAAACTGTCTACTCCCATAGAAACCTTACAAAGGAGTGTTCTGTGTAATGGGTTTTGTTTAAATCTGCAAAAATTCCTAAAAAATAAACTCCCCTTACGAGATTTGGATCAGGACTTAAAAAGCACTTACTCCAAAACAGTTCAAATTTCAAACGCAGCAGCTACTCCTTGGAAATTCTACCCCTGTCACTGTGTTGGAACTTCTGACAGCACTTACCAGTTGTTTTGGTTGTTTTTTTTCATATACACCCCAAGATATTATTTTTGAAATAACCACCAAGAATGTTATTCCACAGACCTGGCCGGTATTCCTGGAGGATATAACACTGACATCAGCTGGGTTTTCAATGGCAACAATGGCCCGAGCTGCCAACAGAAGCTTCTCCCAGGTCC